TCAGGGTGTGCCATGTCTGGAACAAAATGACAATCATACCCTTCTCTGTCGATGACATGTTGATAGGTAGTTTTTAACAGCTATTCTCGATGATATGAATGGGCCTCGTTGCAAAAAAAATTACCCCAAATCTTCAAAAATGGCGCTCATAACTTTTAACTTAATGCATTTCTTTGCCTTGCTAGGATCACATTTTAAACTAGGAATTCTTTACGTGTAATATTAAACTTACAGAAGAATTTCCCGGGTTAAGTAAACAAGGAGATTTTCTTTAGTGAGGAATGTTGAGATCGTGTTGCAGAGAGAATCGAGTCTTTGAAATTATGCGAATATTTAAGTAATTATTAATCGTCATGTTTTTACTTTTCTTAATCTGTTTTAATATATAACATAAGAGGAATTCAAGAATCTACCAAACAATCAATGGAATTTGCATAAGCGTATGTTAAATAAATGGGTGGGAATAATGTGACACAATGAGCGATTGCTCAATTTTAAACGAAGAGGGCATTGATATTTTTCCTCCTTTTCGACTTCAATTATTGCTGTGTAGCTGGATATGTTGCTCTAGATTTGTTGCTCCGCAGATAGCAATTGACTGAATGTAAGTTATATGCATTACAACGCTAACCAATTTCAGAAAGCTACATAAAAAAAGAAAAAGAAAAAAATAATAAGAGAGGAGACAGATAAAGAAAGGAAAAGATTGCGATGATAAAACATCTAATTATATAATTACGGTGGTATTAAGTACCGGTAAATAACTATTATACAAAATTATACCAATTGTTATAATAGTGAGTTGAAAATTATGCAGAATTATAAGTGTGATAAGATTTCTCATCACGTTTTTACATCATTACATAAAATGAATATTAATTTCAAAATAATTTAATATTTATTTATTTTCCCTTAAAAATTTTAATAAACAAATAAAATCATTTATTTCAAATCTTAAATAAATCAGTTGAAATGGTTGTATAATTTACAATAATATTTTTATAGTTCAATAGAGAATTTAGCAGATGCAGTGTGCGAAGAACTGTTTCCTGACTATAGAACGATACTTCCCCTCTCAGAGTTGTGACCCGTGGGTCGCTGTGCCTCAGGCAGAACCCACGGGAAAGGCCTCGTCCAACTACACATTGCGGGACGGGAGTATTACTTATAGACGTGTATACTCCGTATATGATGTCAATCTGATAATTGCACTACCTCTATTGTCTTTCTGTTGAAAGATATTTATTGGTTTTACTATCTCCCTTGAATTTCAAACACCTCCAGATGCACATCGCTGCTTTTAACCTCCTTTTATAATATTACAGCAAAGTGTATACTAAAGAAAGATGTATCATTTAAAAAAAATCAGAAATTACGAGCAATTTTAATAAATTATGATTTAAATTTAAATCCTTTTTTTCAAACGAAACTGAAGCTTAGAAAATGTTTTTCGTGTTTACAATTAATTAAAATCGCATTTAAGATTAGAAAAAAATAGTTTGAGCAGTTTAATTTTAATGATTTTTGTGATAAATAAATTAAATGGTGTAATCATTTCAAGTTATTAAGTTTTAGAATTTAATCTGTGTTTAATAATGTTTTTTGATGTCAAATTTAGTTACTTTATAAGCTTAAAAAATAGAAATTTAATTAATTTTTTTTCCTATCTCATCTCGCTAAAATTATGAATTGTTAAAAAAAATTTAATAAACTCTTATAGTTATAAATTTCAAATTCTGATAATGTTATTTATATAACAACAATTTAATTAATATTATAAATTTTAAATTTGAGGATATTATGTTATTAGAATTATAATTTTCACGACTTAATATAAGACTTTAGAGCGCCGAGATTGTTAGGTAAGATCTTAAATTCATACCACAAATTTAGAGTGAATAATTAATAATTCGCAAAGATATAAATATTTGCCGTTGACATTGATTTTATTGATTAAGATACCATTCAAATTTAACTACACGATGACAGCAAATAAATGAATTTAAACAAAATAAAGAAAGAAGATAAGAAAAGCTGTCGATGGAAGCAAAACTTTAAGCTTATTTACTTCAATTAAAACTCTTACTTTCCATTACGAACTAAAAGCATTTCTAGAGAATAATTTGCATACATTTTATTACTTGTAACGAATATTCGGATTATGCCGAATAATTAAAAGTTACTAGATGTAATAAAAACACCGTTTATAGATACACCTAATCGTCGACACAATAAGTACAATACAATTATCAGATAAATCGGAATTTATCTACCTTCTTTTTTTATTATTATTATTAATGGAGTTGCGCTAATGATTTAGAAATCGTTTTGTATCATCTCGTTCTTCTTTTTTTTCTCTCTCTCTCCATTTACAAATTTTCAATTAAGAAACTCCATCACGTTTTAGAAAACTTTTAAGCGAGATCGTTAATTATTACAGATTTCATCACGTGTCTTTACCCAAAGTAATAAACGTCTACCAATCCATCAACAAAATATTGTTGATCCCAAGCAATACACCCAACTTGTTTAACTGGAAAGAAAGCCGATGGCTGTTATTCCCGCCCAAGTTATTATTTAGACGAAGTTCTGAGGGATCGTAAAGCGACATTTTGCTCGTTAACTTTAAATGAACGTAGTTGACCACCTCCAACTTTCTTAAACAAATAAGGTGCGAATGTCGTTATTACTTAAGATGCGATTTATAGCGTTACTACCGTTCTTTTTTATTTTTTATTTTTATTATTTGTAATTATTGGAGCCGTAAATAAATTTCTTTGGCTATCTTAATGCTCTTTTTCTTTTGAGAAAATGCCCGAAGAGACTCGATTCTTTGTTTAATAAACGAAAATATAAAAACCTTTTAGTCAATTATTTTTTTAATATTAATGCTAAAGTACTTAAGGGACTCGTCTACATTTTATTAATGATTCTTCTATTGTTTTCTGCTGATGTTTTTAATATTATACTTAAATTTTCTATGAAATCCCTCAAGATATTGTGTTATTTTTACTCGTTATTTTTTATGAAGAATTTTTATAGGTAAAACCTTTAAAGCAACGATTAAAAACATTATGAATATAGTTTCGATCATTTTTCCATGGCTCAAATTAATCAGCTAATGGTTAAAAGCGAGTTTCTAATAGTTTCTAAACTTTATCACTTCTAAATATAGAAACTAAAATCACCTTAGAGGACGTAACTCATGTAGAAATGATCTCGTTTTAATGAAACATTAGATATACTTTGTTGAATGAATGGAATTAATTAAAATTTAATCGAAAGTATTAAATGGCTTTTTATATCAGTATCTGTATTCAGGATTTTAAAAAGAAACATATATTTTAATTATGTTTTTTTAAAATACCGTGTATGAGAATAAGAAGAAGCTCCCTATTAGGCGAGTGTGGTCTTTCTAGTGGCTTCAAATGCCTTATAATCCGGATGAGCGGTTCATGGACCTAAGAAGTCATGAGGGTGCTCTGTCAAGCGCGGGGTTCCTAATTGTGTTAAGGTTGGCCTCACAGGTTGTAATTTTTTTGTGAAAGCTTATCCAACTGCACCGAAGTTGAATATTGGTACAGAATAGGCTTTTATCACCCCATCGAAAGAACTAGGCGAAATAATTGATTTAAAAGAGACACTTCTCAGCAGTTTCCTTCATTTTCAACTATTGTATGTGGAAAAGTTATAGCGTAGAAAGCGTATCAATCTCTGGAATGAAAAGGAAGAGGAAAATTTAGAATAGCGTATTTAAAATTAAAATTCGATACGTGATCGACATATTTTTACTCTCTCTCGACCATGCTTCTACTTGTGTAGTTACATTACATATTAGCATGCTAACGGTATATTCCCCGAACACAGGGTGTACATGATTGGCACGTGCTGACACGTGAGTATTAAAGAGAAAGAAGAAGAGGTATAAAAACACTTGAATGTGTGAACGTTATCCTTAACAAATTGCTATCGTCTAGAATGAATTGAGTAAATCTCGTTATTTAAATGATATTTATTAGTTATGTATAGAAAATCAAATAAAAGGCATTATTATATCGTTTCCAAAATTTTAAATTTGCTAAGATAAGATTCACATAATACACGAAACTCATTGATATTAACTTATTACGATCTTATCAATTAGTCATCAATCTTTAAGATAATGAATAATGTCATTTTTAAAACTTAAAAAAGTTGATTTACATAATTATCTATCAACTTTATCCAGTAAAAAAAAAGTAAAAAAATCCTCCTTTTTTACAAGAAATCATTGGAGAGAAAAGATTAAAAGATTTCTTCTTTAATAAATTGTTAAACAATGAGGAAAAAAATCTTACAATGTTACAAATTATAAAAGAAATAAGAAAATTATTCACTTTCACTTCGAAGGTGTAAGAAATTGGAGAAGGATTATTCATTATCTTTCTTTACTTACCAACTTTATAAAATAAAAGTATTATAATCTGTAAATGATATTTTTATAACTGAGAGTGAAAGGAAACATTAACTGTAGCACTTCCTGAGGTGACTGAACCCGAACTCCACACTGAATGTTTATTTGTAATTAGTAGCATTAATTGAAATAACCCTTTTGTTACTATTATGTTTACCTTAATGACAATCGTAGTTTTATTAATACACGTAACAGAATTTTCTGTGAAAACGCTTGTAAAGTTCAAGTCGATGATTAGTTTAAAATTACGGGTAAAATTCTTTAATGGTTAGAAACTTTAGAACGGAAATTCTATTGGCATTCTATAGTGTTTTTGATAGTAAAGAAACCATAATTAATTTTACTCATTTCTTTCTTGATCAATAACATTGAGAAGACGAAACTTGCTTGCTTATTAAATAAAATCTTTTCTCCTTGATATTGACACTCGAATGTCACATTTATTGGTTTATTCTCATCGATTGATACAGTACTTCAGCGATATAAAAGATTGTGAAAAGTAAAAAAAGAAAAAGAAAAAAAAATCTACTTAAAAGTAAAGTCTTACCTGGTGGACAAATGCACTCAGCAGCAGCTGATATGTCTCTTCGAGTTCTTTTTGTACTAAGTTCTTTGTCCATTTGCTAAAGAAAAATAGGTTTTTGTCACTAACTTTTATTTTTATCATTACAACTTATAATTTCTTAATTTTTTAAATGGTGGCCCTATTCGATAATTAAAAGAAAAAAAGAGTTTGCATGGTTAACTTCAATGTGTCAGACATAACGAATTTCAATCAGATATTTTTCGTTAGTACAAACATCTGTTAAAATGAAACATCAACAAACAAAATGACAACAGATGATTGACAAATCGACGACCCACAAATTTGACCCCTGTCACGGGGCACGGGAGACAAAGTATGCCCATCTTCCGCGGTCAAACAGATAAGTGAAGTTTGTCACACGAAAAAGTGGTCGGTTGAGACGTGTTACAATGACCTACGTTTAAAAATCCCTTTGCTGAATTAATGAAGTATGTTTTCAATACACGAGTGTTAATAATAGTTAATAAGCAGTGATTACAAATATAGAGATCAAGTTTTTTCGCTCCCTTTTCAATGCCTTATGACTTAATTTATAAGCAAAAAAATAAGGAATTTTTAAAGTAAATATGTAATTAAAATTCTCGTTCGATTATATTAATTACAAATTTATTTTAATTACTGTAAAAAAAAATTCAAATTCAATTTCTATAAGTGGAAAATTTAATAAATTTATAAACTGTAAATGCAAAAGAAGAAAAATAATAAATGTAATTGAAAGAAAACAAAGGAAAAATAAATTATAAAAATATTATTTCAATGAAAAATTAAATAAAATATTGAAAATTTGATAGTTTTAACGAGCTCACCAGTTTGATCATCTCTTGTATCTTATCTTCTACATTGCTTAAGTCGAATATCCTCTGTTCGTACTGATGACATCTCGTTTGTAAAACGGCCACTTTCTCTTCCAGACGTAACAACCGTAAACCACATAAAATAGAAAGTCCAAGTGAGAATATACAAAGTGTCCAAACGACTAAAGCTGGTCCTATTGTCCACCATTTGGCACCCGAGTGCCTGAGAATACCGTTAGATAGAGCTTTGTCCATAGCTGGACTATCTTCCATCCTGCCCTCCACTCCTGACACGATACAACTTTGCTACCAACATCAGCACGTGCGGCGATCACCACGCTGAATGACGTTTAGCCGCTGCTCGCCTTCTTTAGCATGTACTGCAGCGCTGCCACCTACTGTTTGTCACTGGATCAAAATTTCATAAGTTGGATTCCATCCATACAAATTCCAACTTCGGATCCTCCTAAACCAAGCACTTTATCAATTCTTTCAAGTTTTAATAATTCAAAAACTCTAGTAAAATCAATTCAATTTTTAAAAAAATATACATGAAAATAATAAATTTAAACACTATTATTATTATTATTTTAAATATATTAATTATAAAATTAATTAATTTGCTAGCCATTAACAAAACTTAATTAAACATTTCATTAAATGGCAAACGGAATAGAAATTAATTATAATTATTGTTTACGGGGTTAAAAAGTATACCAAATTTTAAAGTTTAATGAAAATAATTATAAAATTTTTCAATTAAATAATATATTTAAAATAAAATTTGTTTTTTTGACATTTAAAATTAATTTGTTTTCGTTCTTATTAAAATTTCATCAAAGCGGAATTTTACTGAGTGAAATTAAATATAAATGTTTTAATGCAATGCTACTATGTTATAGCAATTAAATTTTTAAGTTTCATTTATTTATTTAAATATGAAACGTCTTTTTAATATTTACATATTTATATAATCTGTTGTATAGACTTTGGGATATAGTTATGTATAGTTCTTTACATATAGAATGCTTTAAATTGCATAAATTATTATTAAATTAATTATAAAATTATAAAAATGGCAATAATGCCCACCCTCTCAACAACGGACACCTCTAAACAGCGGTTAGTCTTTTAAACAAAAACGTCCGTTGTTCGAAGGTTAACCTTCGAACAACGGACTTTTTTCAATGTTATGTTAGTGGCCGTTGTTTAGAAGTTTTACTGTATATACATAAATTCGAAAGCTCATATAATATAAATAATTAATAAAATATATAAACAAATACAAATTCTATTAAAAATGAATAATTTTCATTTATAAATAAATTATATAAAATTATTAATTAAATTTTAAACAAATATTTAAAAAATGAGACAAATTTTATTTAAATTTATTAAAATTTAATTTAACTAATTAAAAATATTTTTCAATATTATATAGTTGAGAATTAAATTACTTAAAAATAAAGGAAGATTGATCCAAAATTGAGTGGTTCCATCTGTGGTCAATTTCGAGAATTAAAACGTATCTAATTTATTTATTGTTAATTTTCTACACAAGTATTGTTTAACAATAGAATATTTTATGTTATTTTATTGGCAGAATATATTATTAACTTTTTAAAAATGAATACAAGTGAATTTTCTCCTCCAATGCCACGATTTCGACAGAGATATTGCTCTGGAGAAATCCCTGTAACACTTGTAAGAGAAAATTTCGGATGGAATTTGTATTGGAAGGTGAAAAGTTTTAAGTTTAAATTAATTTTATTGAATTATAATTTAAATTAAATTTTAATATTTTAAGGTTCCTATAAAAGATATAGACTTCGGGTATTATTTACCAATATTTTTTGAAGGTTTGAGAGAAACTCGTAAACCTTTCGACCTGATTGCAAATATAGGATTGCATGAGATGCTGGATATATTAGAAGCTCAAAATTCTTGTCACTTCTTGGACGAAATAATTCCTCATCTGATAAGTAAGCATGATATAAAATTAATCAAATATTTCTATTAATATTAATCGTCTTTTAAGATGGATTAACTAGCGATAATCCGAATATACTGTTGAGATCATTGATGGCTTTGCAGCATCTTTACGATGTCACTCAACTGTTTTTGCATCCGTATCTTAATAGAATTTTGCCTGCATTGAATGAGATTAAAGAAAAATTTCGTATGCTATTGTTTTATATACTTAAATTAAGATTTTGATATTTTTATAAATTATTTTGTTTGAAATTTTGTAGGAGATTGCACTGATCCGGAAAGAATAAAAATTGTGGTTTTGGTATCTGAAACAATCGCTATTTTAGCACAAGAATATTTATAAATATTTATCTTCTGTATGAAACAAAATTATGTAGTTAAAGCTGATATATTAAAGTAATTTTTAAATTCTATAAAAATCATTAGATTTGCTGGTTTAAAATCTAAAACATTGTTTTTTTTTCTATATGTATGGATGTTATTGTGTATGTGGGGGCACGATTTTGTCCACCTAGAAGCTTATTAACTCCGAAAATTTTTGAAATTTTGCAGGGAGGTTTGCGTATTAGGGGGCATTGATGCTATTAAATTTTAGTGGTTAAAGGTCGAGAGATTGGGAGATAAAGGGAGGTCACGTGTCATATCTCGATAAGGGTCAGACTTAAAGAAGATTTACTCGTTATTAGCATTTACAATTTTTTTTATTTTTTTATTATAAAACTCGTCTCTTCTCTCAAAATTAAGCTTTTGATAATTTTATAATAATTAATAATATAAAATTTTTAAAGAAAAATCTCATAACAGATGGCGCCATACACAATTTTAAAGTTCGGCGAGGAAAGTTAAGCAACTCGTTGCTAGATTTTTATTCAATTTTTCGCATGCATTATGCATACATTTTCCAAAATATTTTATCTTCAATAAAACTCTTGCAAACTTAGAAATTTTGTAAAGATACAGCAAAAGTAATACTGCTTTTTTGATAGATTTTAAGCAATACAAATGTCTGTTAAATATGCTTCTTTTCTGAAATTATTTATAAAGAATTGCATTGATGAGATAAAGTGGTAATATGCCAAGAAGGATGCCTCACCGAAGGACGTTTTATGGGAAAATTGATGCCCTATTTGAGTTAGAAACACGTGAAGAAAAATCAGAAAATTCACATAAACACTGGAATATTCTCGTAGTTGGTCACAGTCCCGAATCTGCGATCAACTATCAACTGATGGATCTCACTTATCAAGAAAGTTACTTAATGTATTTTACTGTAGCATTATTAAGAATGAGTACTAAAATTTGCCAAAATTTAAGTAATTTGAACTAATTTATATTAGATTCTATCACAGAAACTTTATTGCAAGAACCAAAATACTCTAATTCTATTAATTGATAGAAACTTAAATTAAGAGTAGATTGTACATTAAGAAACTTTTTTGAAATCGGAAAAAGCATTTAAAAAATAAAACGTATATTATGCTGCTTATTATAATTTTAAATAAAATTTTATTGAGCATATTTTGTCGAACATTAGACGAATATTTTAATATTTCAAGAATAAACTTTTTAAAATTATATTTCTATATTTAACAAAAAGGTTTAGTAAAATATAATTCATAAAAATGAGAATTATTTCTAATGTTTATGTATCTAATATTAAAATTAATTCCGAAAGCTTTCAAATTGGACGTAGTCGAGAAAGATTTTGTGCAACTTCCGACATCATCATCAGTGAAAACTTTAATATAATATCCATTGTTGTTCTTGATCTTCAATGGTTGGGACATCATCATTTTGTGATTATAATTAAGCATAGATGATGATTTTTCGTTAGCATTTTCTATGCATGGAATTAATCGACACGAATTACTTCCTTCCGCGATATACAATTCAGCAATACAAATGGAATGGTATTTTATGTAAAAACTGAAGCCATACAATATAATTTCTTGATCACAATTTAGCATACATTCGATACAGAACGTCCCATCTGTGTATTTTGAATCTCTTATCTTTCCTGTCGAACAGTCGTGATGAAGTTGCAAAATTGAATAAGGAGAATTATCTGATTTTAATATCTTGGATATTGTTAATGGATTGATTTCTTTTGATGATGTAGAATTATTATCACTTTCTTCTATACAACTTTCATTTTCTGACTCCAGTGTTTCTATAAAATGACATTTTCTTGCATTTCTGTTCTTGTTGCACCATTTCGGCAAAGGCACATCTCCGGGTTCTGGTATGTTCATTCCTATGCTCATTATTTCATCTTGACTAAAGACACCACTTCTTGCCAAGCCTCTAAAGATGTCTTCGTGACTCATACTCAAGAATCTGATATGTGGAAAGAGTGGATCGAGAAATTTCCTCAATTTCTTGACAGAATTACCATCTGCTCCTTTACGAATTGCCATTTTTGCCCATCTAACTAACCTATCAAACAGAAACAGTTCATTTTTTATATTTAATGAATTCATTGAGACTATACTTTGAACAGTTTTATAAGATGATCGGAGAAACGAATCTGATTCCAAAGCTTCATTTGCATATTTGCATATTATATCCTCGCATTTATTTTTAAGATTTTGAAAGTTTAAGTCGAGTGCCATCTCGTAAACGGAACAAACGTTAATTTTGCATAATTGCGATTCTATTTTGGCTCTACACATTTGCATGAGCTGAACTATGTTGTATCTAGAAGCCACATAGTAAGTTTGTATGGTATCATCTAATGAATCTGCCGTTAAACTTTCCGTATAGATATATCTAACAGTAAAAATATTCATTAATAATGTTCAAAATCTTCCAAAGAATATGAATTTTTTAATAAAAAACTTACTTCAACATAATTTCAAAAATATCCGGATTTACATCCGGAATTAAAATTTCTTCTTTAATGGTAGATGTAGCATTATAAAACATTTTTTCGAAGACATCACTGCGAATTGAAAGCAGTAGTTTATGAGATTTGATCTTTCTTTGGTTGAAAGTTGTTCCTACAATTAATGTAACATCGTATAAAATTTTGGAATGCATCAGATGAACCATGATAGATGAAAAATTCGTAAATCGAGATTGCCAAGATGTCAAATCTATTTAAAAATTATAAGGTTAAAATATGAAATAGCTTATTTATATTACAAGAAAATGAAATAAATGCTTACCCATTTAAAAATTATTATAAAGAGTATTGTTTAAGATTTAAATATAGTTGTTATTGTTATTCAAGTATATTATTCTGTTAATAAAGCTCAAGAATTGAATTTATTATATAATTTTCTCATGAATCTTTTTGGTTTCTAAATTGAAATGACATTTATCACGTCACAATATAATAGTATCATTCCAGTATTTTATCAAATTTTAGTATTAAAAATAGTAAGTTACTCATTTATCATCTAGAACATTATCCCGTTCTCTCGCTACTATCTTGTGCATAACTATTTTATTAAATGTTAAACTTTAATATAACTTTAAAAAAAAAAAAAAAAAAAAAAAAACAATTTTCCCTAGAATGTAAAAGAAATATATTTTATTTTGATTAGTGTCTTTCAAGATGCACGTTATCCATGTAACAAGACGAAGCCGTTTATCATGCAAAGGGAAGATATCGACTCTGGCTATCGATATGCTTTTCTCTAACTGAAATGTTTTCCGATATCGTGTACACATGCAAGTTGCCAAACACATCTATCCGATAAAGAATATCAATATTACCGTTGTTTGGTAAGTTACAGAAATCTCTACCGATTACAACTAGATAAAACCAAGAAAAGTAGAAACATTTACGATAACTAAATGACATGCTAAATTAATAACAAATCGTTATTGGTAATTTTCCACATATAAATTTTTATAACAGTTTATTAATTTCTTTCGATTTGTTGTCTATAAATTTTGTGACGTGATCGTAGCCATTAATGAAATTAACCCAATAGCATTGCCGTTGGAAAAAATCGAATTAAGCCTTGTTTATAAAGAGAAATGGAAAATTACATGCAACAGGAGAGAAAAAGTACTTCCATTTAGAATAAGTGTAATGCTAATTGAATATGTATGTATTATTCTATAAATAACTTGTCGTATTTATAAATATATTAACTGAAATTATCATAAAATGATTGTCGTATTTACAAGTAACTTGCTGTTACTAAGGAAGTACTAAAATTTGAGAGGCCTGGAAAAATTTTATTTCTGAGGCCCACTAAAAGAGCGATGAAGATAGAGGATAGATTTACTATAGTTAGGTCTACAATAATATAAACATTTTACATATAGAAACAGCTATTAAAGCACAATTATATTTTCAATTATTACCAGTTTGATATATTTTAGTATTTATCCCACCCCACGCTTAATTTTGTAGATTATTTAAATTTTATTTTATTGTTCTACATTGCTATATTTGTTATCACTATTGTGTCACTTTCTTCATTTATTCTATGATTTTTCTTTTGTATATTGTACCTTATTCTTACATGTAACTTAAACATTATAAGATACAATTTTACGTCTCGGTTTGTTTTCCTTTAATCCAAATAAACCTAATTTAATAAACTTTAGTGAATAATTTGTATTTTTATAAGTAATATTTTCATTTGTAAACGAATGATAAAATTTTTTTTTCAAAATAGTATTTTTGATTGTTTTTAAATGTTCTTATAGCAAGCATATGTTTTTATTCCCAGTTAATAAAATTTTTACTAAACATTTATGAAATATTTAAATAAAAATAATTTTTATTTTATTTTAAGCATAAACTTTTAATTCTTCTAATTTATTAACAGAATAAGAGTACGAAAATTGTAGACTGACGTGTCCATCTGGATAAGATTCATACAAAAAAGAAAAAAAAACAACGAATATGTACTGTACCGTCTTGTTCTACTTTACTCTTCATTAATATTATTAAAGCAATGAAAAAATATCATTAAGAGTTTTTTTTGTTCTATTTTCAGTTACAGATTGCACCTATAAAAAAAAACAAAAATTTAAAACAAAGATTGACCTAAACGATGAAAAGAAGCTCAAAATTGATTGTCTTCCGTTTCTAATAAATCACTCAGATTTTCGGATGTTTTTCAAACTTTTTATATTTTATATACAATATATAGAGTAATCTTCTGATAAAAATTGCTACTAATTTTCCATTCTCTTAACTTTATGTTCCATATTTATATCTACTTTTCCAGAGTAATTAACATATTAAAGTATAGTTCAATCAGTCTATTAGAAATTTATTAACGTCTAATTAATTAAGAATATTCCATTTTATTTGCCTTTCTTTCGTGTTATCCTTACATTCCCTTATAATTTAATGCAATATTTTGTCTACCAGATGCAACAGAACTTAGTTCTTATACATTTTTTTCAAATTTCAAACTTACTTTAGTTCAAACATTTTATATTATAATTTCTATTTTGTTTTGATTTATTTAAATACAATTTTTATGTGTTATTTTTTAAATAAATCACAAATTTTAAATTATTTTCCAAGATGTTTTTCCACAGATTATATACAATAACTAAAATTTGCTTGTCCATCTATGATTTTTATTAATTAGATCATCAATTATACTATTAATTGTATTACAGACGTAATTAGAACGCATAAGGAAATAATTAAGGGAAAAAAATACGTTTATTTTTTAGATATACTGGTATATCCTGCTCGACCCTAAAATCATATATATATTTAATACATTAATCAATAAATGAAGATGAAATCTAAAATATAATTCTTGTAAAAAGTCAAGAGCTATAGTCTTTACTCTCTATTTTATCTTTCCTCAATGCTTATTTTTCTGTAACATACCTATAGAAACAGCAAATGGCCGCGAGACATTAGAAAGAAGACGAGACTAATAATAAGGCTCAATCGATAGTTTGGGAAACTCCAGGCAAAATAAGAAAATGTAATTTTAAAAAGAAAAAATTCTCCCCCAAGTCATCGGTCGAGTTGATCTTCTTCGTATTTAATGATAGATAATCTGGTATTTTCGTGAAATACTACACCCTATAACAACTTACCAAATATGAACGAATAGAATAGTTTGTATTGTGATAAATTTATAGGGGGGAAAAAATATCTAAAAATAATTTTATAAGTGAAAAATTAGCTGAGATGCAAATTTTACACGTATAAAACTACGATTAAAATTTGTTTTCAAGTTATTACTCTATATGATCATATCTATAAAAAATTGTGTAACAATAAATAACAAGACAACCTACTTGTTTCAATTAAATTTAAAAGTTAATCCCTGCAAGTTTCATTATATTTTTTTATTGGATCGATATGAGACAAATTACTACTTTAGCGATGAGTGATGAAGTTCGAATACAAATTGCATTATTCGCAATTTTTTATGGGCCACTTGGGTCAAAGGTTTGTCATTATTTTTAAAAACTATATGGACAACTTCACCGTGCACAGAACATACTTTTGTGATTTGTATTACAAAAGCTTTTCGTTTTGTTAATATTTACTGATGCTACTTACAAGTATAGAAAAACTTTTAATCTGTTTAACATAAAATTTATAATGTGACAACTCGAATTGCGAAGTAAATAATCACCAGTTCTTGCAAATACCATACATCCAACGCCTCGAAACTGATAACTAATTTAACAAGAGAAATCTCATTAGATCTACAAATTTATGTCTCGAAATTATTCTGAATACAGCGCCATTACTCCTGTCCAGAAATTCTGTATAAAGCTGATTTCATTCGGCACTCAACATCAGTTCACCATGAAGAAAGAACAGTGTACAGTTTCTTTCAGTTACTTCGCCATGTTTGTAATTTGGGTATTTCTGGCATCGTATTATTACTTCAGAATAGTCGAAGCAGTCGAATTCGAAGAAGTACGACCAGAATTATTATCTGTCGATTCCATCGAAACGGAATCTGAACCAGATCTAGACTACTTGCCACGCGATAGAAGACAGCAATCTGATAATGGAAGACGAATCGATGTATTCGTAGCAAGTCGAGGCAAAAGAGAAGAATATGAAAACACCAATTCGCAACAGACTTCAACTTCTTCGATTGGACTAATTTTCGTGGCACCTCGAGGTAGAAGATCGGAATCTAATCTCGAATTGCCGATAGGTTTCGTCGCGACTCGTGGAAGAAAATGACAAGCTTAAAATTAGATGATTTATTCAAAATTTTACGTTCGGTTGTAAACTAAATTGCATTATGGAAATATACCAATAAAGATTTCATAAGATTGATGAAATTAATGTGTACATTCTTAATTACTGATTGGATAGAAAGATAAAATACATCGGACTTTCAACAGACAGTTTAATCAATTGCCGGTTTAATTATTCAATATTATTGAATCTGAAATTTATACAATATTAGAACATGAAAGGACTCTTCACCAAAAAAGAATATTTTAATAATTTATATATTTTTAGAATATTATATTAAAATTATTTCACTTAATCGAACAAGATTTTGGCTGAAGCAGTTTTATTTCACACACAAACTTTAATGTTATATTTTGTCGGAATAGTGATATCATTTTAATATGATATGCTATAAATAATAAGTTGACTATACCAGCATCCCCAGAAAATAATTCTTATGTTTCTTAGGTTTTAGGTATAGCTCATGTATTTAATTTATATCTCAAAATTATTATAATACAGTAGAGTCCATATGGCATAGTGGGCATAGTTTAATCGGTAAAGGACAAAAAAAGGGCTTTTTTAGTGTCCAAAGGGCGGCAAGAGACAAAAAAGAAAATTAATTGTTAAACAGCATGCTGTTTTCTAATAATTATTTTAAATGCAATATTTTCTTATCTTGTAATTTTTTATATACTTGGTTCCAGCGACATATTGCTTACTAGAAAAGTGAGATTTGCTCTACTGCTAGTCTTCGTTTAGTTAGAATGAAATAAGCCCACTAGTTTTCCTTATGTGTCTTTCCTGCTTTCTTGTATATAGATGGAAAAAATTACATTGTCACAATAATAGTATTTATTTGTTGTTGTACATACAATTGAGAAAAAGCTTGTTAATTATACATTTTTATGAAAGACGAAATGAACTGACAAGTGAGACGTTGCTTCTAGATATCAGATTAATTGGATTCTTTTAATACAATAAAGTAACAAGTTTAAATAATATATGTATAGTAACAAGGTAAATCTATCGTATCTAAGAACTCTTTACAACTTACGCAAAATTTCAATAATTTAATTCTCGATGTTTACGTATGTCTACTTCAGATTTGCATTACTTCTAATGAAGTTTCCATTCTCTCGAGTAACAAATTATTTTTAAACAACATGCACTTCTAAATTTATTTCTTTTTTAATTTTCTCTCTCTTAAAATGTTGATATCTTTCTTGAAATGCATTAATATCTAAGTTTTTATGTGTGATTCAGGCGAATATTGTATATGATTGAATTCACAAAGGTATAAAAAGAGGCTTAAAAGTGATAGACAGGCTATATAAATCACTTAAACTCGTTATTTTAAATCCGAAATGGCAATCGCATCCGTTTTATCAGAGTTCTCTGTTATCCGCGGTAACATCGATTCACATTACCTTGGTTAATCGGGTTCTATGTATATAACACTCTGACAAAATAGAATAACAAAAATCAAATTAATTCTTGTTAATTATTAATGCATAATTAGCTTTTATTAATAATGGGAAATTACAACAATGCTGGATAAAAGCATAGAACAGAACTGATAGTCCATATATTACTAAGGATTATCTTGTCATGTATTGTACGTCACTAATTTTCTTCTTTTTATGACGATCATTGTATTCTCCCAATCTCCAAATTAATTATGTTACGATATTTACGAAAGGTATTAGATAATAACATGATAGAGAAGGGATAGGTTATAATTGAATTCTGTCGTTTTAATAAGAAAAAAGACTATAATTCTAGTTTTTTTATAATGACTTTTTAATAAAAATAATTTTAACAATTTACTTTACAACTGTAATTAAATAAGCTAAAATACAAAAATTATAAGATAAAAATTATAAAAAAATTATTAACTAACGAATAGATGATCCGATGATTAATTCTTATTGAAAAAGTAAATGTTATCAAAGTGAATAATAGTAGACATTGAAAGTGTACATTTGACATCTTAAAACCGTCAAATAACCTAACGAAGAAAATCTTATTATAGCACAACAGATTTATGTCTTGGAACTATTCTGAATACAGCGTCATTAATCCTTCTGTCCAGAAATCCTATATAAAGCTGGTCTCATTCGACACTCAACATCAGTTCACCATGAGGAAAGAACAGTGTATCGTTTCTTCCAGATATTTCGCCATGTTTGCCATTTGGGTATTTCTAGCATCTGTTTCTTACTTCAGAATAGTCGAAGCAGTCGATTTCCAAGAAGTACGACCAGAATTGTTATCTGTCAATTTCATCAAAATGGAATCTGAACCAAATCTAGATTTCATTTTGCCACGCGATAGAAGACAGAAATCTGATAATGAAAGACGAATCGATGTATTCGTAGCAAGTCGAGGCAAAAGAGGAGAATATGAAAACACCAATTCGCAACAGACTTCAACTTCTTCGATCGGACTAATTTTCGTGGCACCTCGAGGTAGAAGATCGGAATCTAATCTCGAATTGCCGATAGGTTTCGTCACGACTATAATTA